TTTGCACGGTGAGGAATGCCATGGCGGCCAGGACTCAGGCCCAAGCCTGGGTCTTCCTCAATATTGACAGCAGGGTTGAGTGCCCCGGTGCCCCACCATGACCCTAGGCTCAGGAAAGATCAGGACTACGGTGGGATGTGTAGTGTTTCTATGTTGGAGGGATGACGCACCAGATTTGACAGTTCACAGTGTCCCCTGTCCAGTCTCAGTAAGGACGTCCAGCTGCCTCTCCACAGTTTGGAAAATTACGTACACATTTTTTCCTTCCATCAGTTAGCCAGGGCTTATTGATCTTCCTGCTATGCTTTGGGCTGGGGCCATGAGCCGAAGGCCGAGTGAGCTGTTCTCAGCGTTTAGTAGTTTGTTTACTTGCTTTTGATTGTGCTAAGGGTTTTCCTACCTAAGTGAGAGGGTTCGATGAGTTATTGTATAGGTTACTCAGAAGGTCCCAGCTGCCCGATTGCCTTAAGCCCAGGGTCATGGCCCACCCTGTGCTGGCTCCTGGTTTCTTAATGTGGGTCCTTCACCTGCTGGAATACAGGGTGATGGCTCCAGAGCCAGCGCTGGGGAATGAAGGATGGGTTGGGTACTTGGGATAAAGTGCTCCCAGGTATTAGTGACCATTCGGGGCAGTGCTGCGTGTGGGTATGTATGTCTGTCCCGTTTGTCAGGACAGGCGAGTGTCCTGTGGCAGGTGGCCCTGCCAGGGACACTGAAACACATTCACTGCAGGCCTGTGAGGAAGCAGCGTGGTCCCAAAGAGAAGGCGTTCTCCCTGTGCTTGCTCTGGGAGGGCTGGGGAAAAGGAGTAATGTCATCTTCCATCAGAACGCCGAGCCCCCCACAGGCAGCCCCACCTCCCAGCCCCTGAGCTCTTAGGGCTGCAGTTGGATCCAATCCCTTAGCAGTAGGACAAGTGATCCCTTAGTTTCCCAGGGCACACATTTGTATTCCTTGCTAGAGGAATTCCACTTAGGGAATTGCTGCCCCTCCCCCAACATGGTCATACTCTGCGTACACGCACACACACACACACACACACACACACACACACACACACACACCTCTATATACCTCATCTGCAATGGTTTCTTCTTTCTCTAAACTTTGGATTCAGTCTCTCTGGGGTCTTTTCATCGCCTCTCTGTTACTGGTGGCCTTGCCTGCACTGGCCCCTTGAACCCAGAGGCCCTTGAGGGCAGCTACATGGAAGGTCCCGGGCAAGTATTTACTGAATGACTGAGATAAGGGGTAAATGAATTCCGGAGGAATTAAGTGTCAAGCCTGGAGAAATTGGGGCCGACCCAGGTTTTGCGAGTCCCAAGCCGGGCCTGGGGCCAGCTCGTCCTGCCTCGGCTGCTTTGGCCCAGGGACAGCACACCAATTACCCCTTGCTCTTTCCAAGAACTCACACTCCCCTTCCTTGCTCTGAGTCTAGCAGCTGGCATTGGTTATGACTGACCCATGGCAACACCTGCACCTACTCGTGGAATCACAGGGTGTCAGGTCTCACAGAGCTTTCTGAGATGGTCTCCAGGCGTGGCCCTGCCTCACTGTGGGGCTCGGCACAGGCTTTGCTGGGGCTCATTAGAGGAGCTGAGGGCCATAATCCTCAGAGCATCTTCTGGTGAGCTGGCTAGCTCTACTGAAATTCTGGGTTCCCCCATGGATCCCAGGATAGATGATCAAGTTCTGAAGGGGTTGATTGCTCTCTGTCTCCTAGTGCCAGCAGCTGGGCCATCAGAAGTGGTCCAAGCCCAGATGGCCACCGTGGGTACGTATAGTTGAAAGAGCTGGTGTCGGGGTGTGGCTCTCCCTTGGCTGTTTCTGGACCCCCAGGTTCTGGGTGGGAGCCCAAGACCCTTCTGACTCTGACAGATTCGGATTGTTGGGTGTTCAAGGACTTCTGCAAAAGCTGAATTTGAATCCCATGAAGTTGGAGTGAAAGTGGTTCTACTACAGGTTAGCCTTCTTTTACGGGCTGTGTTTATAGGGTCTGTTCACTCATCCATTCCGTTAGAACGTCCTGAACCTACAATGAGCCAGCTCTGCTCTAGGCCCTGAGGCTTTATCTGTGACCAAGGCAGACGTGAGCCTGCCCGCATGGAAGCAAAGCACATCTGTAAAAGGGTCAACAAGAAAACTGCCCCAGTGGTAAGTGCCATGAAGAAGAAAGTAAGGTGATGGTGTAGAGAGAGGCTGCAGGGATTAAGTTTTCTGTGACAAGGTGGACATGGAGGGCCTTTGTGAGAAGGGGATATGTGAGTTGAGACCTGCTTGCGGGGAAGGAGCCACCTGTGCCTTTGCACATTCTCGATCATGCTGAGTTCAACAATGGCACCTGAAGACCGGTGGCTTAAAGGAGGTTAAAAAAAGCTTTGTTGACTCTGAAAAAAATTTTTTTGAGCATAATAAAAGAATTCCATATCCAAACCTAACTTGAAAACACCCCACGTTCATTATTTGACAAGTTGAGCTGTTGTTACCTGCACCGCGTGACTGGGTGGGGGGTGGTCTTCAACTTGCTGCCGCTCATCCAGCCTGATTTGCAGTCTTGCTGTATTTCCACATTGAGCTTCCTCTCCTCCCGCCGAACTGGCGTCAGCTCAGCAGCAGTAACCTGAAAATAGCCCATCTTCCTGGATTCGTGTCTTCTGAGCTGGCCAACCGGGCAGCCTTTGGAAGTGGGCCATCCATGTTGGCTTTGGACTTTCCAAACTTCCAAACAGAGCTCTTGGGTGGAATTCTGAGCACTCCCAAGTGGCTTCAGGGTCATGATCCATGTTTGCTCAGGAGAGGAGCCAGTGCAGCTGGATGGGGCTTGAAGGTGGAGAAACAGCTCTAGACAGGGCCCTTCCAGGCCCCAGTCCTGCCCCAGCAACTTCTCACACTGGGCCTGCTCCTCCCCGCTGGTCAGCGGGTGCCATGAGTGCTGGGGCTGGACAGTCTTGTTGTCCACCAGTGCGTCTTCAGTGCCAAGGACAGGACCTGGCACACAGTGGAAACTCAGCAACTTTGTTGAATGAATGTAAGAATCTCCATGAGAAATTACTCCTTTCTGACCAGGCTCCAAAGTGGTTTTTTTTTTTTTTTTTTAAGTGTAGACTGCCACCAGAGAAAAAAAGAAAAGATGGATATTGGAAACATTCTTTTACTGCAAGTGACCGTGTGCCTGTATGTGTGTGAGTGTGTATAGTAGTTCATGGACAGTCAGCCCTGCACCATGGTTGCAGTTTCTCTCACTCCTGAAAATAAACATCATGTCTTTTTCTTCTCCTCTCTTGCAAGACAGACTCACAGCCTCTGTCTTCTTGCCAAGGAAGTCAGGTCTCCCATCGGAGACCCTCCATCCACGCATGGTCTGCCTGGCAGGAAGCCCAACAGGCAGCAGACCCCACCGGGGCTGAACGTGCTTCCTCCACAGTTGAGCTCTGTCCCCACAGGTCCCCCTGAGGAATCGCTTGGCCCAGCAATCATTCCTGGCTGGGGTTAAGCAGTACTCCTGGACCACCTGGCTGGCCAACGCATCTAAACATTGGGATACAAAGGGGATGGATGTGCAATAACTGTTCCAGTGGCAGGAAACAAATTTGGACTCCTTCAAGTGGAAGGCAGATCTAGAAATAGAAGGAGCCCAGGCGTGGATTCATTGCCTGTCAGAGTTGAGCTCCCCACATGCTCTGATGTGGAGGGAGCTGTTCCCTCTGCCCCACCCCCGAATGCCCTGGCTTCAGCCATTCTGCACAGGCTGGAGAGGGGCAGAGAGGACTATTAAAACCAATTATGCAGACCAGCTCTGAGTGTTAGTGTTTAACGAACAGCTTTGAGTTCTAATTTTCTGCAAAACACATACTGCAGGTACAATTTGTACTCATTACTGTATATTGGGAAAGTTATTAAAAACACTCAGACTTGGTTGAGACTTCCTATGGCATCGTCCCTGGATTTTAATTGGTTTTTATCTAGTTCTATAAAAGATCTCCTTAAGCCCAATCACAGTCCCTGCCGCAGCTATCATGCCAGTTGAAGGACAGGGAAAGCGCGCTCTGTGATGTAAGTCTTTACCCCCTACCCAAATTTGAGCAGTCTCAACAATCCACTAAAATTCCGTCACGAGGTAATTTATACTTCTTTTGATGGGCACAGTTACCAAATGACAAAATAACAGTGTTTCGTAACATAAGGGTTAAATCTTAATCTCTGAGGTTTGCAAAGCCGCTCCTTGCAGTCTCCTTAAAATTTAATATACCTCGTTAATGCTTCCTTGCAAACACTGAAGGATTTTTATGATTATAATCATGTGTTACAGCACCTCGTACCGTTTCCAAGCAGCATACTAATCAGCTTAATGAGATATTACTGCACTTTTTGCTACTAAAGCAAAATCCCTTTTATTGTTCGGAAGCCTGTCCTTTACTTTATTTTTTCCCAAAACATTATCTTGTTTTATTATGTACCAGTAAATATCGTGCCACTGGGTTGGATTTTCTTCTTTTTTTTTTTTTCTTTTTTGCCAAATCATAAAATAATCTCCGACTGGCGAACATATTGAATATAGTAACCAGAAACAAAAGTTCCAAGTGAGTCAGTTTGGTCTTGCAGTTAAAGCCATTCTGCTCTATGGCAAACTTTGAACTGAACCAACAGGTGCACGTGCTACAAGGGGGGAGAGGAGGAAAAGTTTAACACGTGGACCCTTGATTTGTTATTAGGTGTTGAAAGTGGTAAAACATTAATAATTTAAATGTGAATGAATAATTGCAGTCTGTAAATAGGAAATACAAGGAAGACGATCTATCGCCAAAACAAATTGGAGGAGCAGTGCCATATTGCATAATTGGCATTTAATAATTCATTTTTTTATTATTGTTTTTGACTATAATTCCTTAGCATTATTCTGTGTAGGTAAGGCATGAAATGCAAATTCCCCACCAGCTGATGCTGTTGATTCGCTGCGCCACGGTACCTGGCACAGATCTGAACTCTCTTTTTATTTTTAGGGATGGAAGAAGCCAGTCTGTGCCTTGGAGTGTCCTCGGCGGCGCCGGAAGCTGAGCCCCATCTGAGCAGCCCCGTTCTCAACGGCCAGTATGCCATGAGTCAGAAGTTGCACCAGATCACCTCCCAGCTCAGCCATGCTTTCCCCGAGCTGCATCCACGGCCCAACCCGGAGGAGAAGACCCCGGTTCCCCTCGACGAGAAGGCCCACGTGCCCATGAGTGGCCAGCCCATGGGCAGTCAGATGGCGCTCCTGGCCAACCAGCTGGGCCGGGACGTGGACACCAGCCTCAATGGGCGGGTGGACCTGCAGCAGTTCCTCAACGGACAGAACCTGGGCATCATGTCCCAGATGAGCGATATCGAGGACGACGCCCGCAAAAACCGCAAGTACCCGTGCCCTCTGTGCGGCAAACGTTTCCGCTTCAACAGCATCCTCTCCCTGCACATGCGCACTCACACCGGCGAGAAGCCCTTCAAGTGCCCGTACTGCGACCACCGGGCGGCACAGAAAGGGAACCTCAAGATTCACCTGCGGACCCACAAGCTGGGCAACCTGGGGAAGGGGCGCGGGCGGGTGCGCGAGGAGAACCGCCTGCTGCACGAGCTGGAGGAGAGGGCCATCCTGCGGGACAAGCAGATGAAGAGCAGCCTGCTGCAGCCCCGGCCGGACTTGAAGCCCCTGCCGCACGCCCAGCAGACCCCGCTGGCCGCCTGCAACCTGGCCCTGCCCACCAACCACAGCGTGCCCGACGTGGCCAACCCGGTGCCCTCACCCAAGCCGGCCAGTGTGCAGGAGGACTCAGCGACCCCCGCTGCTGGCTTCCGCTGCACCTTCTGCAAGGGCAAGTTCAAGAAGAGGGAGGAGCTGGACCGCCACATCCGCATCCTACACAAGCCCTACAAGTGCACGCTGTGCGACTTCGCCGCCTCGCAAGAGGAGGAGCTCATCAGCCACGTGGAGAAGGCCCACATCACGGCTGAGTCGGCCCAGGGCCAGGGCCCCAACGGCGGCGGGGAGCAGTCGGCCAACGAGTTCCGCTGTGAGGTTTGCGGACAGGTGTTCAGCCAGGCGTGGTTCCTGAAGGGCCACATGCGGAAGCACAAAGACTCCTTCGAGCACTGCTGCCAGATCTGCGGCCGGCGCTTCAAAGAGCCCTGGTTCCTGAAGAACCACATGAAGGTCCACCTCAACAAGCTGTCAGTGAAGAACAAGTCCCCTAGCGACGCCGAGGTGCCTGTGCCCATGGGCGGCATGTCCCAAGAGGCCCACGCCAACCTGTACTCCAGGTACCTCTCCTGCCTGCAGAGCGGCTCATTCATGGCCTCCGATAAAGCCAGCCTGAGTGAGCCCAGCCAGCTCTACGGCAAAGGCGAGATGCCCGTGAAGGAGAAGGAGGTTGTGGGGAAGCTGCTGACCCCCATCTCCAGCATGGCCCACGGCGTCCCCGAGGGCGACAAGCACTCCCTCCTGGGATGCCTCAACCTTGTGCCACCACTGAAATCCAGCTGCATCGAGCGGTTGCAGGCAGCTGCGAAAGCTGCCGAGATGGACCCCGTGAACAGCTACCAGGCTTGGCAGCTCATGGCCAGGGGCATGGCCATGGAGCATGGCTTCTTGTCTAAAGAGCACCAGCTACAGCGCAACCACGAAGACACTTTGGCAAACGCCGGAGTTCTGTTTGATAAGGAGAAGCGGGAGTACGTGTTAGTGGGAGCAGATGGCTCCAAGCAGAAAATGCCTGCTGATTTGGTTCACAGCACTAAAGCGGGCAATCAGAGAGACCTGCCAAATACGCTCGACCCTTTGGAAGGCAGTCGGGATTTTTTGTCACATGGGCTGCACCAGGCTCTCGAGTACAACCTGCAGGGTCCCGGGAGTCTGAAGGAGAAGCCCACCGAGTGCCCGGACTGTGGCCGAGTGTTCCGCACCTACCACCAGGTGGTCGTGCACTCCCGCGTCCACAAGCGGGACCGCAAGGGCGACGAGGACGGGCTGCACGGGGGCCCCGATGAGCGGCGCGGCTCGGGCAGTGACCAGGAGTCCCAGTCGGTGAGCCGCTCCACCACGCCCGGCTCCTCCAACGTCACTGAGGAGAGCGGGGTCGGAGGCGGGCTCTCGCAGACTGGGAGCGCCCAGGAGGACAGCCCACACCCCTCCTCGCCGTCCTCCTCAGGTAGGTTGCCAGGGGAGATGGGGGAGCGGTGGCTGGCGCAAGGGCCCTCCCTGCCCCGGGGCCTGGTTCTGCACCAGCCTCGGTGGGGAAGGGTCCTCGCTGCCCTTCAGAGTCAGCTCTGAGTTCACCGTGGCTTTGTGCTGTATGTGGACCTTGCCTGTCTGCCCCGCCTCAAGGGAAGGCTAACTTTTCAACTCTTTGACCTTCCCTTGAACACTGGCCACCAGGAAAGTAAGCTGATCCTCCTCCCGTGTGGTGGAGATGGCCGGTTGTTACGTTTGCCAGCTGGGATAGCCTACCCTCCCCTGTGATTACCTGGCCCCATTTCATGCCCTGACCCCTGTCCACCATCACCCCTGGAACCCGGGAGCTGCTGTTTGGCTCCATCCGTGGATGTGAATGTGTAAGTTCAGACCCTCACCGTCTCTCCCCCCAAGTGTATGCCCATAATTCTGTCATTTGGGCCCCTCACTGCCTCTCCCTAGACCAAACCTGTCTCCGGCCCCCTTTCAAAAGTACAGCTTGGCTCAGGTGCCTCTAACCTGAAGAACCACACCATTCTCCTCCGATGGTTTGGAGAAGCACAGAGGTTTGAAACACAGATGCGCGACTTCATGTCTTAAATTGTACTGTGTTACACGGGCGATACAGCTTTGGGGTCTAAAATAGCAAAGCAGAAAATCTGTCATCAAAATGTCTGTGAAATGCTGAAGCTTCCTGGCCCAGTTTGAGGAAAAAAAAAAAAAAAAAAAAGAAAGAAAGAAAAAAAAAACTCACTAGCCTAAGACAGCTAAATTAAAATCACTACCTAACAGCAGGTAAGCTTGTTGCCTTCATATTTCCAAAGCCCCTTACTAATGGACAGTAAATTGAAAGTTATATCTCTAGCCCTTTATAAAGAAAGCATCTCGCTAATACTGTAATCATTCTGCAGCCTAACAACAGAGGAAATCATGCCATAACAAATACCCTGTTACTAATGGCAACATTGATTTCTGCAATCAGCCATTAAGTCTAGAAAATGAAAGACAGTTTGAGGCACCTCAAGGCACTGCATTGCCCACTGTTAAAGATGGGGCAGCACACTCTTGAGGGTAATTTTTAAAAAGTTTTTTTCCCCTTTTCTTTTTTTTTCCCTTCTCAGTTTCAATAAATATTTCAGTATTAGAGGCAATTCACCACCACTTATTAAGTAGATGCCAGCCTAGTTGTGTTGTTATTGTCATGCTTCAGTATACCCTTCTTCCAGGACAAAATGAGTATTAAAATAAAGTGTGAGTCTGGTGGCTTATTACAAACCGGTAAAGAATTGTTAAGACACATAAATCTGCACTGCACATTCCAAAGATTCCGATAGCACTTAATGCCGCTGCTTAAACACCCATGAAACACACTGTCTCCACCTGGAGTCCTAGCCTTGTTTGCAATTCACTTCAGTGAGACGCTCTGGAAGAGTTTAATGAGGAACTCCAGCACCACGGAGGGCTAGGCCACACTGCCTGGAGTGACCACCGCCCAAAACTTGCAAGGGAAGGGTTTTCCAGTGTCACTGCCTGACGGCGGGGATTCTGAGATGGATCTCTGTGCACCAAGGCAGCAAAGTGCCAGGTGTCCTACTGTCAGGAGGGATTACTTCTGGCCTCCTGTGAGGAGGTCCCCTCTCCCTGTGGAGTGTCATCTCACGGTTTTGGGGATGTGGGACCTTTCTGGGGCAGAAAGCAGAGCGCATACTGGCTTTCCTAAGTTTTTGGAGTGACGTGGAGTTAACACTGACAGATTTTCCTCCCTCTCCCAGCCCTGCTGAAATGAAAAGGTCTCAGCAGAATATTCCGACACCAAATGTTCGGCTCTATTAATGACGTGTTTACCGTGTTTTTCTCACCTTCTGGCCAAGTGATAGCCTCATGCTATTCCTATCTCTGTTGTTTCCATATCTCTAAGTACTCTGTTGAAAAAAGCCCATTTTTGCCTAAAAGAACCAACCGGGATTGGGGCTCAAAGGAGAATTATACTTGAATTGTGGTTATCTTCTCACTTTTATTTCCCTCATTGAAGTATCGTACAATTGTGAATACAGATTCTTTCATTTCTGGTTGACTTCTTTGTTTTCTTCATATTCAAATTAGACACTTCCATAATTTTCTGACTAAGTAGGAAAATTGATGGCATACCAACATGCGGCCCAAACCAGCCGCACGCCTGGGCCATTCAGGTTTTCCCCGGATTAGGACCCTTAACCAAATCGGGTTAGTCTTCCCTGTTATTTCAACAAGTCTGGCTTGTATAAAGTGTGATTAAAATAAGCATTTAAATAAAAATCTTGACACAATAGGTATTTTATTATTACCTGTTAGAGAGAAACCTGCAAGGTGAAGGGGAGAAAATACAATCTTTAAGCCCTTAAGTAAAGAAAGAAGTACTTATTAAGGCTTCTATTAAGAAATAACTGCAAAAACACGGTTTTACAAATTTCTCAGACTGCATAACAATGTCTTAAAACTTAATTTGCATCACTTGATTCTTTTTTTGTTGGAAACTGGGTCAGTAGGGCCTGAGAAACTATTTTTTCAGATCTTAACCAATGAATTCTTCTTTATAAATCGCTGCTCTTAACATGATAGTAGTTCTGAATTCATCATAAAAAACCTTTTTACAGAGAGCCTCTTAGAACAGATCTCCAGAAGAAGGCTTACAATGAGTGGCAGAGACGTCCTTTGTTATCAGATGTAATTCTTTGCAAAGGAGGATTGGAACGGAGTGGCTGTTTAAAAATGTCTTGCTCAGACCGAGACGAAGAAGGGGTCAAGTTTGCAATCAAACAGTTATTGCCGAGATGGGCGACCGTCACTGGCTAGGCTAATGTGGGATGCAGCTGTTTGTTATGTGAGCAAAAGAATGTTTGAATCAGTGAACATGTGAAAATGATTCCAGTGAACCAGAAAATGTGTTTGTTCTTTGGCTCTCCAAACTGCTGAGAACCAAGCTTAAGATCAACTGTGAAAACTAGGACCTTTGACAAATTGAGAGGTCATATTTTCTAACAGAAAATGGACAAGACCAGTCATACAGATCACTTCCCCATCTTTCCCCTTTGTTTTATATTTGTTGTTGTTGTTGATTTGACTTACCAATAATTTCACACCATAGTAGATGTCATTTCTTCCTCCGTGTACAATGCAAAGGGAAACTATTTGGAAAGCAGCAGCTTATAAATTTTACTCTTTTATGACATTTAGAAAGTGGGGCAGCTGTTTTGATGCTCCCTCATTTCTGGCTTGCGTGCAAATGCTCCAATGGCATTAATCTCGGCATCTTTCCCTAAAACCTCGTCTAAGACTGTGCTTCCAATTCGAGCTTTACCCTGAGTCAGAAGACGACCAAAGTTCTGTTTCTTTAGATTTTGCTTTGGAAATCATGGTCAGAATGATTAAAACTTAATGTACTAAGAAACGATACTGTTCATTATATCCAACAGGGCAGTTACCTTCTGCATTCCCCATAATTTTGGAGAGGGGATAATTGAAGTGTTGATGGTGGGAAAGGGGTAATTGAATGTGTTGACCCCTCTGTTCATTAAAGTCGGCTAAGTTACATGATCAACGGAAAGCCAGGAACAGATGCAAAGATGAAAATATTGTTAACCCCTACCACTTCTGGTATAATATTTTGAGATGGACAAGGATTATTTGATCAGCTGGGCTGGAAGCCTTGCGGAGTCTTCTTTTGTTGCCTGAGCTGCATTCCTGAAATGCTGGGTCTCCATCCTGTGCTGGCCCATTGACCACAGCATCAAAGGCCTTTATCCAGGGCTCCCTTGCATTTACATCGGGTGTCTAGTGATATGATAGATTTTCTTTCTTTTCCACCTCTTTTTCTCATGTGGCTCCTCCTCCCTGCCCCCATTCATGATAACCACTGCCTGCTCTGCACAAACAAATCCGGGCACCCAAAAGAAGGGAAAAAAAGAAAAAGAAAAAGAAAAAATTTAAGTCTGAGGATTAAGATCTTTTTTTTTTTTTTTTTGCTTGTGCATTCCAATTGTTCTTAAAATATTTGGCAATGTCAATTAGTAACTGAGCAGAGTTAGCTGATGAACACAATTTTCCAGTAGACTGAGCACCCTATTGTTGCCGAGCGCACAGCAGATTTCTGAGGTCATTATCATTCGCTGGTTGCTTGGCCCAGCTGCTTCCTGCTGCAAAAGCCAAACTTTATACTGGAGCTTGGGGATGGCATGCAGCAACAGGGGGCTGGGAGGGAGAGAGGGGAGCTGGCTGCAGAGCCGAAGACAGTCATTATCAGCAGAGGAAACAGAAAGTAAAAGTTTCCAGGCAATTCCAGGAAAACTGCCCTATCAGGCTTCTCCCTCCCGTTCCTCTCCCAGCACCTTCCACCTCCAGGCAGGGAATTAAAAGGACCAGGGGACGCCCCCTGGGCATTGTGGCCACTAATCTCTTTGCTGAGCAGAACTTTGGAAAACAATAATCCCATTTAAAATTTGCTTAAAAATCGTTAACCCAATCTAAGGCATGTGAGTGATTTCCTCATTGATAGACTCCTTCATTTTTATTAAAAACAGAAGAAAGAAAAACAAATTATTTTTTAAAAGATGAAATTAAAAACTTGAAATTAGTAAACTTGGGGATGACAAACAGGGAACATTACTTCATTTTCCAGGGGGAAAATTTTGAGCGGATACTAGTCTGAAATTCCTTGTAAATCAAATTTAGCATGGAAGGTTCCCCCTGCCCACTCTGGCTTCCCCTTTTTCCTTCCCCCTCTCTCTCCCTCCCCCACCCTTTAATTTGGGAGCTGGTTCAGTGAGATGAAAAGCTGCACTTTTTTAAAGCTCAGCTGTTAAAACTGAGTGCCATATGCAGCCTTTCCGTCCCGATGTGGAAGTGTGTGCAGGCGGCCACCGTGTTTGTGGAGATTTACGGAGGCTCGGCTGTGTGTGCTGAAGCCCTGCCTGGGCAGATGCTGGCTGGCCCTGCCTCCCG